AGAGATAGCAACAAAGATCAACAGGACTGAGTCATCTGCCTTGATACTGCACGTCTGTCTGCATCTATAAGCAAAGGCTTTTCACTCCACTAAATATTTTATCCATTTACATATAGTTAGCAGCCTCTGACTATACAGGTGCCCTCAAGCCACATGCTTGGGAAAATTCTTGACAGCTTGCTAAAACACTGCTAGCAGAGCTTGTCTTCAAAATGAACTGCAAGAAAATTCAAGTCCCCCTCACCCACTGCTGCCTATGCTCTGACCTGGACAGCCCAGGCAGATGGCTGGCTAGTAGCCACGGAGAAAACAGAAAAGCACTTTTAGTGCCAGAAATAATCTTTTTATTACAGTCCAGAGAAGGTATTTTAAATACGAAAACCACCCAGTGTATGTATGACTTGCTTTCATTAATATCTTGGACTACACATGTCCACCTGTACCATAAAATCAATAAATCCATCTGTCCTAGGCAAGTAACACTGAAAAACAAATCACCAACATTCAAACAATTGGGTGGAAAATACCTGCAAGTAGAGAAGATATATGAAGCCTGAAGTCTTAAGCAGACAGTGAGACTGTCACAATGGTCATCAGATGCATCTCTTCCTTTCCTCTGTGCCACTTCAGGAACCAGGCATTGCAAGGACAGCTAATCTGAATGATCTAATATTTGCCTAAAAGTACTCAAAGGGTATTTACCAAGATAGTGGAGGCAAACTCTTCTCCATGATGCTACATGACATAACAAGCAGCAACAGTGACAGTCTTGGAAGGCCCAGGAAAGGTATCAGAAAAAGAAGTGCCACTGGTAGGGTAATGCAGGACCAGACCAGGCTGACCATAGGGGCTGTGAAATTTCTGTCCTTGGAGGTTTTCATCACCTGTCTGGAAAAAAATCACAGCTGACCTGTTTTAGTGCTGGCCACAGTCCTGGGTCCAGCAGGAGGCTGGACAAGATGACCTCCAGAGCTCCTTTCCAAGTAACACTGCATGACTCCTGGAGTTCCATCAGATCATCATTTACTTCCAGCTAAGAATAAGAACAAGTAAAGGCAGTACTATGGCCAGAATTGGTGAGATACAGACCTTCAGAATCAAAAAAAGCACCACTTTTTAAAATATCAGCATAGGTGTATTAATTTGCATGCTAACACACTGCTGCTGCCATAAGCTGAATTTCTGGACACAGAGATACCACTACCCTGCTCTGCAAAACTCTAGTATAAGGTGGTAGTTTTCAAAAATAAAGTGAGCAGGAGGTTGCATTCATTGAAAGCACCTCACAACAACTGGAATTTTCATTCTAACACAGTGAAGCATTTAGAAATAAATTACCCACTGAAATGAAACTGTTAATGCATTTACTCAATATTAGATTAGCCCCACAACTCTAAAAAAAGAGAACCATCAAGTGTTCTCCAACACAAGCTAAGTTCTGCCACTCTGGAAGTAAAACTACAAAGCTGCTGTCATTCCCCTAAATCCATTCAGATTTTTCCTATCAGACACAACGATAACTGAAGTAACAAAGAGAAAAATGGCAATGCCTTTAAACAATCTCCTCCCTTGTGACACACATTCCTCCTTTAAACTGGCCAATATTTTTGCCTCAGCCCTTTAAGTCTCCCAAGCTAAAAAATATGTGCAGAATTCAATGCAAGTGACATGCCACAACTTCAAAGCTAGTGACAAACAATGACTGCCATTTGAAATTGTCTTCCCTAAAGTCAAATTACAAGGCAGATGCGTATAGATTAAATAACTCCTGCCTGTAATACTAACAACAAATAGAGATGTAGAATCCTTGTCATCCCCAGCACAGGGACTGTATGGCACATCCTCAGCTGATCACAAGTCTCGCTCTGTCTGCTCAAGTAAGCCACACAGATTTACTAGACAAAAATAAAGCCCAACCCAGACAACAATTCAGCTGTCTGCCAAACAATCCTATGACTCTCATTTTACATAATTTGCATCATAAATCACAGAATTATAGAGTGGGTTGGGTTGGACTTTAGCCCATTCCACAGCCCTCTCCCATGGGAACGGACACCTTCCAACAGCCCCGTCCAACCCTTGGACACTCCCAGGGATGGGGCAGCCACAGCTTCCCTGGAAACCCGTGCCAGGGCCTCACCACCCTCACAGGGAAGAATTTCTTTCTTCTATCTAATCGAAACCTGCCCTCTATCAATGTAAAGCCATAAACCCTTGTCCTATCACTACATGCCCTTGACAAAAGTCTGTTCAGCTTGTGGCAGCATCACCTCATTAATCCCAGCCACGGGGATTTGATTTCTGCCTGCCTGCTGCTGAAACGTGTCCTGGCACAGCCAGAGCTGCACATGGCACGTGCCTTCTGCACTGCCCACAGACAGTGCAGAGATCCTGCTCCAGAACAGCCCCAGTGCTCAGCACAGGCACTGCACCATCTGCCACTCCCCTCCCAGCACCACCATTACCTTCATCTCTGAATCGGAGCAGCTTTGGAGAATAGGGGCCAGGTCGTCCCCAGCCCTGCCTACGGAAGAAACCAGCAAGAGGTGAGATGCTGTTCACAGAGCAGGTAACAGCCCTAGAGCCCTGCACACACAGGGATGGGTACTGCTGCTCCTCCTCACTGAGAGGTGCAACTGCTTCTGCAGGAGCAAACTGGGATCAAGCCCTGGCTTACCATGAGACCTCATTACTATGAGGAGAAGGATTTCATCCCACTGTATATTATAAAACTCAAATTATGTGTGTATTTTGTCATTAACAAGGAAGCCACAGAACTCAAAGGCACAGTGAAGACCCAGTCATCTTCCCCACTGCCTGTTCTGAAAATGCAGCATTTCACAGCCTTTCTCTGATCCAGGCTCCCCTTCCTCTGTCAACACAACCAGAGTTCATTGAGGATGACTATGATAACAGACTTGTAAAAGATACATACTTTGGCCTCTGCCTGCCATTAACCCCTGCTGGGATGGCTGGTATTACTCAGCTTAGTTCTGCCTCAACATAAAAAGTAACTATAGCCTTGCAGCAGATGTACAATAGAATTGTACAGCACTAAGCACCTCTTGCTCTTTTGTAACCTTTTACCACTTTTTTTAGTCTTTAAGAACCTGTTTCTGATTTTGGAACAAAAAAAAGAGTCCCTTTTCTATGAGAAAAATGAAAAGCAACTCCATTTTAGTTGTAAAAGAACAACAAAAAGAGTAAACTGCCAGTGATCAGGAAAGTGCACAAGCTTTGGAAGTGGCAGAACAGCCCAGCCACATTTTAATGGATGGGTAGAAATCTGTTGCTCCATTAAAGAACAAGTCCTGCTCAGGAGCATAAAGCAGATTTGATCTCTCAGTTCACATTTCATGCTTGCAGCTGGAGACAGTGTTACTGTCTGACACCCTTCTCAAATGTGCAGGATGTGTTCAGCTGCTGAGGACAAAGAACTCTCTATGAGCACTTTCAATTACAGCAGATATAACCAAACACAAGCCTCACATGGCAATTTCTTGGCATTTGATGGTCCCAGCCCTCAGCCAAATGAAATATATTTAAAATGAGATTTGTCTCTTAAAAGCTGTTGCCCCCAGTGAGCAGTGTGTAATGGTTTCAGGGGCCATCCAAATCTTGGACAATCACATGAGCATGTCCGTCACCAGCCAATCCCACCACTGCTGAACACCACAGACATCTTCAGAGCATCTCTGCAACCACAGCCTTGGAGAATACAAGGCTTCAGCTGAGTACCAGCTCTCCTGAAAACCCCCACAGATGCCTCGTTCAGCTTTAAACCCTGATGTAATGACTAAGAGACCAGGAAGCGTCTGGCTCAGTTTCCAGTTTATGTCACAAGACTACACTGTACATGCAGTTTTGAGTGAAAATACACCATGCCCTGCCCTCTCTCCCCTGTAATAATGGACTTATAAAAGATGCCATCCCATGCTGCCCCTGGTATGAAAGACTTTACAATGGACTATTCATCAAGCAAGCTTTTTTCCTTCTTTTACTCAATTATTAAAGCCTGTGACTCACACAACTGCACAAGCTTCCAGCACCACTTATTACCCCTCTAACCACTTCAGCTGATCATTCTTTTGTGCTGATTCCTCTCTCCTACAAATTACCTGGGAATTGTCCACATGCATATTTTATACTTTTGAGAAATTAAGACATGAAATCTGCTAGATATCATTTCTGTTCAGAGAAATGGTCAAATTAGGGAAGACATTGCATTAGTGTAATGTCATGGACCTTCAGCAAACGAGTTTTTACACACACTGCTCACAACTCATGGGCTGAGGCAGTAAAATGAGACTCCCTCAGAGTTATCTTCTGATTCTGCAGTCCCTGAGAATCTGTGATGTAGCTTCAAGGTCCTTGGGTCACATTATTCTGTCACAGACAGAGAACCAAATGCTACTTTGATTGAACAAAGTAAATAACATCAGTAGTTTGAGTCTAACAGGATGATGCAACAGTTTGAGAGATACTAATTTTAAAGAACATACAAAGTGACAGTCATAACAAAATCACACAGAATAGGAATTTCTCTATATTAAGATTTAGCCTTCTGCCTAAGCTCCTCCACAAAAAAAAAAAAAGGTAAATAATCCTCTTTAATAAACTTTTAGTGTCAAAATACACACCAATCAGTACCTACAAACACTAACAGAGCTACTAAAAAAGGCAAGCTCAGATGTCCCTGGATTAATTGCTGTCTGAAGCTAAGTTAGATAAGCTTGAAAACTCTAATAGAATATTGAATGCAATTCCACAGTGCTCCAAATTGCTCTCTCCACCTGTTTTATGACAGAGATCAATTCCTTACATGCTCAGGTAAAAAAAAAAAACCTGCAAACCAAACAAACCCAAGAAAATACTGAACAACAAAAATATCCCCACCACAACAACAAAAAAACACAGTAAGTAAAATTCTACTTAAAGAATTCAAAACTGTGCTTGACAAACAGCCCACCCCAAAACACAAAGAAGTCTTTAAGTAAAACTGGTCTTATAATACCAATTTTTATTCAAGATGGACTGAAAATAAATACTTACTATTACTTCCCTCATCCTGGAAACAGAAAAAAATATTCTTCTTGGTCTGTATTAACTATTTTAAAATGAGCTGCTCCAGCTTATTTCAAGTATACATAAATTTGAAGGCAACAGAGAATGTATTTTTCATTTTTGTTTGTATGCATCCATACACAATACTGTAGATATAAACCATGTATATACATATTGTGCTGCCACCTTGTGAACAGTCTCTGAATAGGGAGGTTTAGTTCACACAGACTCAATTTTGCCACCTTTATTCACATTTAGCTCAAATTAATACAGATACTTTTTAAATAGGGACTCAATGTGACAAAGGATGGCTGAATCAAGTGCTTAGTGCAGAACATTTTAAAAGGCTGAATAAAACAGCTGAATCTTCCACAATTTCCATATGCTTTTGTGTCACAGTTTATTGCCACAGCTATTATGAAAAATGTAACTAAATTCTTTCTGATAAAAATATTGCAGCTTTGCATCCAAGTTGTATGGCTGTCTTCAAAACAGAATAAGCTGGCGCCTGTAAAAAGAATAAAAGATTAAATACATTTACTGAAGTGTTTTCTTGAACCAGACTGTGATAATGAATAATAAGCACTATTTAAAAAATCAAAGTAAAAACACACGCATGCCAAGAAACCCCACATGTATTTGCAGTCTAATCTATCCTAGAGAAAACTAAATTAAAATCTATCAACTTTTCAGAACATTCCCTCAACTATTTATATTTATAACTATCTTTATCAACTATTCTGAACATTTCACAAAAGTCAAGAGAAAAAATAGGAGAGAAGTCACATATTCCACATACAGTATCCAAGGGAGCACAGAATTTAGTTCAGCATTTCACACTTCCTAATAAGATGATGCCTCCAGTTCCCAGCACTGTATGGATAGAAGTTATTAGCCTTACCTTCAAAAATATTTCTTTTAAACTGAAATTAAAAGAAAATCTAAAAATTTGCAGAGGACACCTCTTAGGAAAAAAATCAAAGCATTTTTAACACTTGACATGAATTCCAACAGATTTAGTTCTGTTCTAGAAAAATGAAAGTTATAACATGCAAGACAGTCTTATATGTATCTTTGGGAAAGAATATCATGAGCCTTATTTTCTGCTTCTCAAAAACCACATCCAAATCTCTAAGTACCACAAAGAATCACATCCCAGTTTCTAAGGAAAGAGCAGCACATTCACATCCTCACTGACAGCATCAGTTACTCAACATTCTACTCACAGCTTCTGCATCGTGCTCGAGCCCTATGTCGTGGTGCTCCTGCTCATCATCCCGGAATTGCTTTATTACCTGTAAAACCAGCAGCTACTGAGCCTGCTTTGCAGAGAAATCAAGGCAGCCATACACAAAACTAACTGCTGCTGTCCATGATGTGCACCATGGCAAGCCAGGGTATCTCAAAAACTCCTCAAAGATCTGAACCTCCAATTCAGCAAGAAGGGAATTATTTACCGCATTCTCCTAACCTGAAGTTTTTCTAGTGGTCTCCAAAGAAGTCTTTAAATTCAAGCTGCTATTTAATGAATATATCACTATTTTTTCACTGTTTCAAAAAAACTTATAGCCATAATAACTTTTAAGACTGACTAGTTTCACACCCCCATATTATTCTGATAATTTGAATACAGGGATTAAGGTCCCTGCCTTGCCAATCAGTAAGGGTGTCCCCTGTAAGCTAACCAGTTTTTTTTGTCCATTCTAGCATACTCTAAAGAACAACTGTTTGTTTTCTAATTTTTCAGCTGGGACAAAAATGTTTAGAGGATTTTCCCCTGCAATGCCTGCAGATGAGCAGGATTGCTTAATGAAGAGCTCATCACTTACAGACACCTGGGCACTGTCCCTGCCCAAAGGTTTGCATTGCTTTTGGTGTCCCTTCCAGTTCTCCTCATACTGGCTTGTGAATAAACTCACTGCCTGGATTTTTCTCTTTATTCTGTGCCATCTCTATCTATTTCATTATATCATTATCTTCAGGGGTGGTATTTCCCTGGTGCACCTCAGCATCACTGGTTGCTTCAGAGACAATTTCTGTAACAAAGGGATACATTGGAATAATCAGACTCTGCTCCATGTTACACTATGCACAGCTGAACGCACTGGTAGTCAGCAAGGCTGGAAATGAACCAGTTCTACCTGCTTCCTGTGGAAACAGCTCAATTTCCCACATTCACCTTACAGGAATGTGTCCCAGGTGGACATCTAAAACTGGGAAATTGTTTTCTCACAGAGCTGACAAACATCAGCTCCTTACACACTGAGAGCATCCAGGACTCAAACATGAAGAGGGTGCCAGGAGGGGAAACCTCACCCTGGGATGTATCAAACACAGCATGGGCAGAGGAGCTGGAAAGGGGGTCACCTCAGCTCACCCTGAGCAGCTCTGGGCCCTACAGGTTAAGGAGCATGTGAAGGTACTTGAAATGTCTTCAGAGGAAGGCTATTGTGCAATCAATATTTCCTCCTTTTGTTTCCCCTCTAGACCCTTCCTTTCAGTTAAAATTAATCAAACTTAAAGCATAATTCTCCCACTTGAAAAGAACACCATGCATTACTGAAAGCATGATGAAGATAACCCAACATATGTTTTAATTTTGCTGCTTGATCAATTTGGTGCTGCTGAAGGAAAAAGCATCCTTTTTCTTAATAGTTTCTGTTGACTTTAGCATTTTAAGTGACAGAATAGGAAGATCCACTGTAAGTTCTAAAGGCATATTTTTCTAAAAAGACTAAATCACATTAGATAATTCAATCAATTTGTTAAACTACTTTTAAGTCATGGTTAAATACCTGCAATAGTTCTTTGTACTTTTCTGGATCCTCTTCTATCAGAGTTCGGATCTGGTTGTTGTAGTGCTCTGATATACTCTCTTCCACAGCCACTGTGCAAGCCATTGCACCCTTCTTGCCAAGCAAAGCACTTCCAGCCCCTGGGATTGGGGTACCAGACATATGAATACAATAAAATCTGAAGCAAAACAAAAAATTTAACACAACTGAAGCTTCACAAAACAACAATAATAGTAATTATATAAACTCACCTAAAACAAAACCTGCTACGTTCCAGAAAGGCAATAAAACAGTAGGTCGAACTCTATATGCAACCATGAGTTCATTGAACTTTTTCAGGTGGTCCTTTTCTTGATTCCACATTTGCTGCAAAAGAGCCAGATTACAGAAAAGCATAAAGCCACAACAGACAAACATTTCCAATAAAACTAATAAAAACCAAAACAACTCAGGTCACATATTCTGTGATTGCTGAGGCAATACTGTAATATCACAGAAAAGGAATGGTGAAGAAAGGCAGGTGCAGATCGTTGTAAAAATGACGGAGAGGATAGCTATAAGGAGGTAACATAAAAACATTTGCAAAGTAGGACAACACTACAGGAAGTGTAGCATTGGTAAGTCCCTTACCAAGTGCTCCCACCGCTCTTTATAAAAGCGCACATTTGGAAGTGCTCAGAAAAAAACTGGGGGAAAAAAAAAATAAAAAGAGAGAAAGGAAAGGGAGAGAGAGAGAGAGAGAAAGAACGAAAGAAAGAGAAAGAAAGAAAGAAAGAAAGAAAGAAAGAAAGAAAGAAAGAAAGAAAGAAAGAAAGAAAGAAAGAAAGAGAGAGAAAGAGAGAGAAAGAGAGAGAAAGAGAGAGAAAGAGAGAGAAAGAGAGAGAAAGAGAGAGAGAAAGAGAGAGAGAAAGAGAGAAAGAGAGAGAAAGAGAGAGAGAGAGAGAGAGAGAGAAAGAGAGAGAGAAAGAGAGAGAGAAAGAGAGAGAGAAAGAGAGAGAGAAAGAGAGAGAGAAAGAGAGAGAGAAAGAGAGAGAGA